GAGCCGGCATTTTAATCCAAATCTATCTGACTTTCATGCCTATGATCTTCCCATGAAGCCATAAGCTATGCTGCTCGGTGACCTGGTATCTGTGCAACATTAGACATGTACCTATGGACTTTCCTCCCTAGACTGTTTAGGCAAGGGTAGGTGACAATTTAGATGAAATGTGGGCATGAAGCAGGGAGTTAGACCTAATGAACGCATGAGATTCCTTCTACCAAGATTGTGTGTGTGGCTTGGGCTATTTGAGATAAAAGGAATGGAAAGCCTTCTCTGCAAAGGAGGGAGTGAGGGCTTCTTGACACTGGCAGATAGGTATGTGTTGGGGTGAAACGTCAGGAAGTGGCCTGGGTACATTAGGGACATTTTAAGGTGGCACACGGAGTGGGACCCAGGCAGCCCCTGCTCTCCTGCCCTCCTGCCCAGGCATGCTGCACCCCTGCCTTCTTGGGAACTTTAGAACAAAGCCTCAGCAAACAAAGGACTCCTTCATAAACTTCAGGCGGATCCCCTGACTGCTGCTAAGAGGCTATTGAAGCTGGCTCCCATGAGAACAATATGTTATGAGCACATGGTTTTGCATCAGTGGGCAGGGCCAAAATGATGACACCTCCCTGCTGCTTTGATACAGGAGGAGGAGTGAGGGTGACGAGGACTCCTGCATCAGCTCAGGGAAATGACCTGGAAGGGAGAGAAAGCAGTAGCAGCCCAGGACAGCTCCCAAGCTGAGCCCTCTTCCCGGGCAGTGAGCGTCCCACTGTGCTATGCACCTGGAAGTGAGTCATTGGATAGCTAAGAGCCTTTGTATTTTTCCTAGGGACTTCCGTCAGAGGATTGCAGAGTGCTCTGAATATTATCAGGAAGTGCCTGTTGCTGTGCCCATTAAACAGAAAAGAAAACTGAGTGCTGGAAGGGAAAGCCTTTCCTTCCTTTCATCCTCATATAGCCCAGGCCACACTCACGGCATCTCTTGGCAGAAGGAGTCCTGAAGTTCATTAGGTCTGCCAATATCAGAGTGGATCACAGCACGAAGGGACCAGAAGGCTCAGGCCTGGAGCTGGTGGTCTGCTTGCTGTCTTCACTTTTGATACTTAAACTTTGTGGGATTCTTTATACTACCTGATGTTTTCTGCACCATGGTGTCCAGGCAGACGCCTGAGGTGGCAGAAAGAGTCTAAGGCCCTGGGAGAGAGCAAATCTAGGTTTGAATCTTGTCTTTGTTGTTTTCTGTTTGGGGCAAGTCACTCTGAGTCTTTCACCTGTAAAACTAGGATAATACTCACCTTGAAGGGTTGTTGTGAGGGCAATAAATAAATATGTGTAAACCCCTAGAAAGAAGCTTTGCTCAGTAAATAAAGCCACTACTTTTTTTCTTTAACAAGGCCATTCTACTTATATGAGCAATGTAACATCCATAACAATGGATTTGGGACCATATTTGTAAATAGAATCATAATCTGCAAATGGTCATCTCGGCTAATGATACTCTAATTTTCATTTATAAACCTGAAAAAGCTAGGTGCATACAAGAATTAGGGCAATGACTAGCCAGTGATATGCTGGACATCAGAAAAGCACCTGAAGTTATGCCTAGTTGCACAAAACAAAAACTTGAATCAGGTGCCTTCAAGTGGAAGGGCAAGGCGATTCCTGAAACCTCTATAGAGAGACCTACTGTATCATCTCGTTTTTCACCTTTCTTCAGGACAGGAAGTCCTCCCTCTCCTGCCTCTTTTGTCTCCTGTGCTGATGCGTGGCAGCCCTTGCTTAGGAGGAGAAGCAGGCATCACCTGATAAGATGTGGCAGAAACCACAGGTTACCAAGTTAAGAACATCAGAACCGCTGAGTGACCTCAGCCTTGTAAACAGCGCCATACCAGGTGGGACGAGGTGGACATCCATTGCCGCTCCCTCTGACTCCCCTCCCAAATTAGCAAGTGTATCTCAAGCACATCCAGCTGAAAGCATTCCATGAATTTAGTTTAACCCATCTAGAATTTCCCAGCGAATGCTAGAGCTGAGTGAAAGTGAACTGCGAGACTGGATTCCTATCTCCAGCTGGTCCTGCCTCTTGGGGCAGTGGATTCCATACTCTCTTCCTCTCCACGTGCATTTCATCATAAGGCTCCCTGAGGCCACTGAATCCCTGGCATAGGGCCGAGCATAACATAGATGCACGATGACTGCTCCAACAATGAAGCCCCCGTAGTAAGGACGTGAGCCTCCTATTTCTCACTTTTTTGTGGGGAGGCTGAAGAATAGAAAGCCACTTTTCTGATGGTCCCACCACTGCTCCGGCCTGCCCTTCCCCTAATCCTCCTTACAGATCCAGGCTGCAGGAGGCCCTCTAAGGAGTCCCACTCAGAGAAACAAAGGAGATTGCAGCTATCAGCACTGGGTTCTCTGACCCATGGCCTAAAGACCCACCACCAACTGACACAGCCCAGATCTGAGACCACAGTGCCGCCCTCTCTTCACCTTCCCCCTACCCAGGCACATCCTCTCCCCAGCCTCTGAGAAACACACCTGTGAATGTGACACCTTCTATGTCCCTTCTCGTCAACATGCGTCTTACTCTTGAGGCCACTTTTTCACCTCCCTGTCTGCCTTAGGGTGGAGGTGTTGCCCTGAGCAACAGTGATGTCACCTGCAGGGTGCTTCCATTCCATTGATGTCACGGGGTGGGCCTAATGGGTAGAGGGGAAGGTGCTCTCTGTGGGAAACCTTCACAGGTCCTAAACTGTTGAGGAGGAGTCTACAGGCCTTTTGGGCACTCCCAAATGGCCCCTTTCCTCTCCCAGAAGAGCTCTTCACCCTTCCTTCCTCTCTAGATGCCTGATATAGCTCATGCCTCAAATCTGACTTTCCCTCTGCCAGAGTTGGTCAAAAGATCAGGACGAGCAGCTCCAAACAAACCACTGGAAAGAGCACTGAGAATAGATGTCCTCCCCATCTAGGACAGTCTGGGTCCCTACAGCCTTGTGTCCAGACCTCAGAGGAGGGAGCAGTAACCTGATGGGGAAGAAGTCGGCAGAGAACGCAGACCCCGAATTAACTCTGCTGTCCTGAAGAGTGCAGATTTCCAGTCTGCGCCAGCCTCTGTGCTCAGTGCCTTCTGTGCGTCATCTGGCTCAACCCTCCCCACAGCCCTGAGGGTCATCCTCATTTTACTGATGATGTTACCAGGGCTTGAACAATCAAGGCACCTGCCAAACTACTGAGAACGCCCAACCACTGAGTGGTGGAGCCAGAACTAGCTCAAGTCTGCCCCACTTCAAAGCCCATGCGCTCACACCTCCTTGGCTCTGGACACCTGGAGATGTGGCTCACTAAAGATGGGCCATGAAGGGCCTGGACAGAGACCAGAAAGAGCCCTTTAAATCCAAAGAGGCCAGTTGGGCAGGGCAGGTGGCCTGAGGCAGCTAAGGAAGGCACTGCTTTAGGAGCTTCACCCACTGGCCTACACAGGGGATGCAACCAGTGGCCAGCCTTGGGCCGACCTCCATGCTGCTTAGGGACCATGTCTTTGCTCTATGCTTGACTTTCTATTGATTCATCCATGTTACCTGATCATCCTCTTGATTTGCATATAGCATTATTTTCGTGGCCTGGCCCTACAACCCTGAGATTGTACAGTAGTTACTGAACGTATGCAAATGCAAATCTTGTTTTATTGAGAGAGTCTCGCTTTGTCACCAGGTGTCAGGTCGGAGTGCAGTAGTGCAATCTTGGCTCGCTGCAACCTCCGCCTCCCAGGTTCAAGCAATTCTCCTGCCTCAGCCTCCTGAGGAGCTGGGACTACAGGTGCACACCACCATGCCCAGCTAATTTTTGTATTTTTAGTAGAGACGGGGTTTCACCATGTTGGCCAGGATGGTCTTGATCTCTTGACCTCATGATCCGCCTGCCTCAGCCTCCCGGAGTGCTGGGATCACAGGTGTGAGCCACCGCACCCGACCCGCAAATGCAAATCTATGTTGCTGGGAGCTAATGCTTGCAAAGCATTAAACAAATAAGTAAATAAAATAGAAAATTACTACATTATGAAAGAGGAAAGGGAGAAATTCTACCAGGATTTCCCAGGGAGATACTGCCCTTGAGGCACTGTGCCAAGGAGATGCCCACAGCCAGGCTGACCTGAGTATCCGGTCTACCTGGCAGATATCTTTCCACTGGTGAGGGGGCCACAGAGGCAGGCACAGCCCTGCACTATTGGACATCACTGCCCCCTACCCCATGCTCCTCCTGCATGGTTCTGACTCCAGCTTTGCTAAGCACAGCTTTGGTTTCCCATATGGCTTGTCTAGGATGCAGGGAAGAGACGACATCCAGTCTGTGAGATGTTTGCAAAGTTTCCTTGCAAATTAATAAACCAGCATTCTGACTCGTACACCCACTTCTGGGAGCTTTCTTGGGGTGAATCAGCTTGAGTCCAAACCAATCTGAAAATTATGGAAATCGGGTTTTTGAGTGGGCACAGCTGAGAGCCATCTCCTGGGACAAGTGACATAATCCAGGTAAACACCACCCTCTGAGCAATCTGCTGGGCACCAGCTGTCACCTCCCAGGAGGCATCTTGACTTCCTCACTGATGAGAAGCCTCTTTTGTTTAAAGTGCCTATCGATAGTACTTAGTGAAATGCTCGGTTTCAGCTAATTAAGCTCAACTGTATGGTATGAAAACTCAGTGATCATGTATATGGAGCTGTGAAATGGAGTTTCAGGAAGGGTTCCTGAACAAACTTGGGAAGGGCATTTGTGGCTGAACAGGACTTCAAAAAGGAAGCAAGAGACCACAGATGGGGATTAGGGGTTTGGAAGGTTGGGACAGATGTCTCATCTCCTTCCACTGGCTCTCTGCCTAGGTCAGGACCCTGCACACACCCACCGCCATTTCCCTCTGAGCCATACCTAGGGGCACTTACTCATCACCCTCATGCTAGGCCCCAAACTGGATCTGCCACCTCACACCACCCAGAGAAAGGCAAGTCACTTGCTTTTTGGGCCAGGCTCTCCGTCAGCCATCAGGGCTGGGCTTGCCGCTTTCTTTCCTCCGCTTCCTCCTGCCAGATGAATTTCCCCTCCTTCCTCCACCTGGGCTGAGAACAGGTATTTCCTCCTTGGACAAAGAAAGAAAACGGCAACTGTTCTTCCCTCTTCCCCACAAGGGTCCCCAATTAAACTAGCTTTTTAAGCTTAAGTTGCTTCTCAGTCGATGATGCTCAGTGATTGAGACTCACCTTTCAGGCTCCTGAACACTTTACATCCCTGTGCCTCAGTTTCCTCATCTGTAAAATGGAGCTCACAATACCTAGCTCATAGGGCTACTGTGAGGATTAAATGAGTTAATACAGGCTAAGTGCTTTTAGAAAACAAAAAAAGCCTGGCGAATGTTAAGCCTTCAACGGTGGCTGTTTTTCAGGGCTGCTGTGAATGATGGAACAAGCCATGTACTGCTCAAGGGCACCTGGCTGAGGGGTGAGGACAAATCCAGCTCACATGCCATTTGCCCAGCTACATGGCTTGGCTATGTCCACTCAGGTAAGGCCAGTATTTCCAAGTGGCATCAAGTGGCATTCTCTTGCCATGACAGAGCACTTTATTCTAATTCATTCGAAGGACTGAATAGGCTAGCAGCAGCCCTGGAGGTTATCATGAACAGTTCTCAGCATCCTTGTGGTTCTGTACCCCTCTCCTCTTGTACACCCACTTCTGGGAGCTTTCTCAGGGTGAATCAGTAGCTCAAGTCCAAACCACTCTGAAAATTATGGAAACCGATTTCCATAAAACCCGATTTTTGAGTGGGCACAACTAAGAGCCATCCCCTGGGACAGGTGACATGATCCAGGTAAACACCACCCCTGGGTGCACCCAGGAAGACTGGATGAGAGGAGGGTCCAGGATGGCCTGGTGTCATCCATAATAAAGTCCTGCTTCTCAGCTCCCAGCATGTTTGGAGTGCCTGCCCCTCCCAAGTACATTCTCCATTAAGCCCCACAGGCTGTCCTGTCACCTCATCCCTACTGGGTGGACTCTCAGCTTCAAACTTGGGACCAGAGTCTTGGACTCTGAAGGCACCTTCTCCTGCTCAGTTATTTTTTTTGGGGGGTGGGGTGGGGTGCAGTGGGGTGTGGGGTAAGAGGAGAAGTTAGAGACAAGGTCTCACTTTGTCACCTCGGATGGAGTACAGTGGCACGATCCTAGCTCCAAATGGATGATCCTAGCTCTAAGTCTCAAACTCCTGGGCTCAAGCAATCCTCCCAAGCAAGCCTCCCACAGCTCTGGGAAGACAGGCATGAGCCACCCTGCCCAGCCTCTTTTTTGGCTTTGTTGATGGCCACCCCTCTCTGCTGACAGCTGTGAAAGGAAAATACCTCAGGACCCCAAGCTCAGGATGCCAAAGGGAAAAGTTAAGCTTGGGAACTGAGTCATGCAAAAGACAAAAACAAAAACAAAAACTGCATTCCTTTTGTTCCCAAACAGCTATAATTTCACGTGCTTACTTTATGTAAAATGTAGATCTCCTGAGCAGGAGAAGAATGCATCCAGGGTGAGCAGAGAGTCAGTGTAATTACTTCACGGTTACCCACAAGTGGAGAAAATCTGAAGGCAGAACGGCCTGGAGCAGCAGCAACACACAGGGAATCAGCAAACAATGAAAGCCACTTAGGCAAGTGGGCTGGAGGGAGGACTCAAAAACACAGCCTTTTCTGTTTTCATAAGGGGGAAAAGACTGTAATCTACTTTTCTGATACTCCATTTTCAGGGCTAACCGCGGCCTAAAACTGCCCCAACCACAGAAGAACTTTAGCTGGCAGTCAAACCTGGCTTATAAAAGGCAAGAGCCCTGGGTCATATCAAAAAAACAAAAAACAAAACAAAACAAAAAAAACCCCCAAGAAAATAGACCGCGACCCTGATTTTGATCCAGAAGACCACAGTCCAGATTGCGACCAATATCTGGTACTCTATGAGCTGTGAAAGGGTGCCTTTCTCACACCAGCAGAGGGCAAAGGCAAAATGACGCCCCTGCCTGGTTGTGTAAAATATCTTACCTTCCTGGTCGGCGGCTTTTTTCTTTTTTTTAAAGAGAAACAGCGTTTTGGATGGGGAGTCCAGCCCTGGAACTCCTTGAGTCTTCACCTGGCAGCCAGAATGGCGAAGTCACAGGGAGGCGGTTGAGGGTGGGGTTAGGGGTGAAGTGGCAGAGAGTTATTTGCAGCCCCGTGAGAAAGTCTGCACAGTATGGGTCTGGTCTACTAACAGACCCGAAAGAGGAAGCGGCGGGGACTTTACCCGGCCTGAAGCAGCCCCATAACTTCACTACCCTGAACCGAGAAAAAAACAACTTCACTCCTGTTCCTTTCTTCCAGGAAAGAAGGGAAGGGGACAGGGAAAAGGGGGCGGCAAATATGAGCAGGGCGACCGGCTTTTCTTTCTGCGGTAGCGCTCTGCTCTGGTGTGATAAGTAACGGATTGCCTGGGCGCTAGGAACAAAAACGTGGTCCCGCTCTGGGCCCCGAGGCTCCCCGCGCCTCAAGAAGAGCCGCCCGCAGCCCTAGCTGCAGCGAGAGCCCGGGACGCACCCCCGTGCGGCGGGAGCAGGACGCGTGACCGCGAGGAGACAATGCGCCCGCCTGGGCATGCGCGCTTTAAGAGGGTCTCCAATGTCAGCCCCGACCCGGGAGCCGAGCAGGCGCCCCCGCTCCCGGCAGCCATCCCCGGCCCAGCTCCTCCCAGCTCGCGGTCTCCATCGCGCCCTTCTTCCTTCAGCACACTAGGCTGGCCCGGGACTTACGAGTGGCCTGGGTCTCCGGTCCCTGGTCCCCGCCGCGGGAGGACCGCTCCAGCACAGGCTTTGCGCACGGGTGGTCGGGGGGCCGGGGCGCCGCTGCTTGCAGGCGGCTGCGGCGGAGCGTGCGGCCCGGCACTTAGAGGGGCGCGCGGGAAGATGCCCCGGCTGGCTCCCGCCTTCTGGCCTCCATCGGCTGACTCTACAGGACTTCAGAGTTACTCATTTCCTGGATGTCACAAAAACTTTTTCCTCCTTATAAGAACAAAACACCCGCCTCCAATCGCGGCTGCGGAAGCTCCTTAAGGAGGACAGCGTGGGTTTCGGTGGTTGGGCCCAGGATCCGCCGGGAAGATCTGTCCAGTGAGCTCCCAGAAACTTCAGCGGCACGGCAGAACTGGAGACTGGCTGGGAGAGGCGGAATCAGGCCACTGGGCTAAACTGGAGAGAGTGGACAGGCGCGCGGAGAGGACGCCCTTAAAAGTCGTTCTAAGCCACGGAGCGGAAAGGGTTAAGTTATTACAAGTCGGGAGTGTTTTCTGCGGCGCGGTTTACAAGTGGCAGAATTCCTGGGACCGGTCTCTTGGAGGAAAATAATAAATAGAGACATAACGCCAGCCTTTTCCCCTTATGCATTTTAAAAGGATTAAAATAACTCACTAACTTTTGTGATACACAAATGCCTGGTTGCTTTTCTCGGGATTTAACCAGGCACAAAGAACAACGGTGACGTAGTTTCTAAACCTGGTACCGTTGTGACTAGATGAAGTGTTACTACCCCTATGTTAGAAACAGAGAACTGAGGCCAGAAGGAGCAGCAGCAGCAGCATGGTCAAGCTTAATAGTTTATGAAATCCATAACTTCCATGGTCTTCCCTTTGACGTTCCCAAATCCCACAATCTAGAAAAGTCAGAGAAGGGTTTGAATGAATTCTACACTAAGCGGCTTTGGGGGCATCAAATGCCAGTGAAGGCACGTTGGGGAAATTGGAACCCACTTGTCCAAAATGATCACCATTGCTACTGCGTTTTGGTCTTAGGGCACTTTCTTTTCGTCTTTTCCTTTAACACTCGCCTGGGAGACTTTAGGCTGAGTCTGAAAGATAAACAGGCAATGAGAAAATTTTCTAAAAATAGACTCCCTGGCCCTTGGCCCAGGGTACTTTTATTTTCAAGTTTCTACTGCTGCTCAAATTCTTTCCTTATGTAAGAGGTTATGGCAGAGTTTTGGGGGCCAGTGTGTGTGCTGGGGGTGGTGAGGGCGTCTGGGGAAACAGTCTTGAAAGAGCTGTGTATTTCCAAAATGTTTACAAGTTGGCTCACGGGGTTCTCACACCCTCTCCAAAGCAGGCGGGGGAAATTTCTGGGAAGTGAGAGCACTGGACTGAGCTTTGTATTCCTTGGGCTAAGAGTTCAGGGTTATGCTGGAATGCCAAGGTTAGTGCTTGAATGCCCTCTGGGATTGTCATCCCGTCTGCAAAGTTGTTTCAGCAATTTCTAACCAGCTACGTTTATTTATATAAGGAATATTTATTGTATTTGTTTTGCTTTTAACATGATGATGTCACCTTCTGTGATCTGATTGGTTCCTGTCTGTTCTCAGGTCGCTGGTTCTAACCTGGTATGTAAGTCGTTGGTCCTGTCAGAAGCAAACATAAAACTCAATTGTTTATTCTGGTCCCTAGCAGAATAGACAACTCCCATTGAAGTTACAATAAGAAATTAAAATGTTTTATGATAAATTAAACTATTCTTTATATCATTTATTTTAATTACATAATTTTAATTTTTTGAAATTAAGAATTATTGTTAATAATCATTAAGCTTATAATAAGAAATTAAAAACCAGAGTAGGAAATGAACCACAGGAGGATGTGAACTGGGAAATGTAATAAACAGGAAAGTTAGCCCCTTAAGTATCTGAGACAATAGAATAATTTGAAAAAGACTATAAAATAGTTATGATCAAAATACAGAGATAAAATGGTAGGACATGGGACTATGAAAAACGAACAGGTAAATTTGGAAAAGTACAGATATAATATGTAGAAATAAAAAGTTTAGTATTTTACATTTTAAAAACCTCAATGATTGAAATTCTTTTTTTAAAGCAATTATATCAGTCAAAAATCTAGTAAAAAATAGCTTATTAAAAAGGGGAAGGAAAAGTAATGTATTAATCTCCTTTATGAATACTGCTTCAGAAATTTCAAATAATATATTAATAAATAGAATTCCAGCAGCACGTCAAATAATATTATGTCATTAATAGATTAAAAGAGAAACACTGCAAGATCATCACCCTATATGCTGAAAAAATTTGGCATCCAAATATAAACAAACCATCAGTAACAGTGGTAAAAACAAAGGGCAAAGTTCAGCCCCCAAACCAGTGTTATGCTTAATGGGGAAATATTAGAAACCTTCATGTTAAAGTCAGTGCAAGATATGTACGTCCTCCTTCACCCTTATTCTTTTTAAAAATTATCAATTAGGAATATGTTTGGCTGCAAGTAATGGAATACCAGACTGTAATTTTTATAAGTGTCTAAGCTATAAATGGCTTAAACAAATAAGGATTTATTTTTCTCAAAAAGAAGCTTGTGTCTAGGTGGCTATTTTGGGTCAGTGCCTTGATAGTTTCAGGGCTGATCAAAGGATATGTGCATTTACTGTTTTGATATATATTGCAAAATTGCCCTCCAAAGAGATCTCAACCAATTTGAACTATTTCCCATAGTATAATGATTGCCTTTTTCTCCACATTGTCGTCAACACTGGGTATTTTCTTTTCTTTTCTTTTCTTTTTTTTTTTTTGAGACGGAGTTTCACTCTTGTTATCCAGGCTGGAGTGCAATGGTGCGATCCCGGCTCACCGCAACCTCCGTCTCCTGGGTTCAAGCAATTCTCCTGCCTCAGCCTCCCGAGTAGCTGGGACTTACAGGCGTGCACCACCATGCCCAGCTAATTTTTTTTTTTTTTTTTTTTTTTTTGAGACGGAGTTTTTGCTCTTGTTACCCAGGCTGGAGTGCAATGGCACGATCTCGGCTCACCACAACCTCCGCCTCCTGGGTTCAGGCAATTCTCCTGCCTCAGCCTCCTGAGTAGCTGGGATTACAGGCACGCACCACCATGCCCAGCTAATTTTTTATATTTTTAGTAGAGATGGGGTTTCACCATGTTGACCAGGTTGGTCTCGATCTCTCGACCTCGTGATCCACCCGCCTCGGCCTCCCAAAGTGCTGGGATTACAGGCTTGAGCCACCGCGCCCGGCTAATTTTTGTATTTTTTAGTAGAGACAGGGTTTCACCATGTTGACCAGGATGGTCTCGATCTCTTGACCTCGTGATCCACCCACCTCGGCCTCCCAAAGTGCTGGAATTACAGGCTTGAGCCACCGCGCCCGGCAACACTGGGTATTTTCTATTATAACTTGAATCAGTTTGCTTCTTTTATAGATTGAGAAAAAAAAAAACAAACCCTAATCTGGGTGTTTTGGTTTGCATTTCTTTAATTATGAGGGAGGCTGAACAGAACATTGTTATTCACCACCTTTATGTTTTTATGTGTGAAGACTCTTACGATGCCCCCTATTTTTCTCCTGGCTTGTTTATGTATATGTGTGTGTGTGTGAAAGTAGATGGAATTTTCTTCATGATCAGTTAAGTGCTAGATGAGGCTTCAAATCCCATAGTGAAAGGTGACTTGTCAGCTGGGTGCGGTGGCTCCTGCTGTAATCCCAACACTTTGAAAGGCTAAGGTGGGCGGATCACTTGAGGTCAGTAGTTTTAGACCAACCTGACCAACATGGCAAAACCCCATCTATTAAAAAAAAAAAAAAATTAGCCAGGCATGGTGGCATGTGCCTGTAATTCCAGCTTCCCAGAAGGCTGAGGCACAAAAATTGCTAGCCCCTGGGAGGCGGATGTTGCAGTGAACCAAGATTGCACCACTGCACTCCAGCCTGGGTGAGGGTGTGAGACCCTTTCTTAGAATTAAAAAAAAAAAAAAAAAAAAAGGTGACTTGTGACAAAGTGAATCAACTACAAGGCAGCTTCACAGCACATCTCACAGTCAGGAGCACTGGAAATTTTTAAAAAATTAAATACACAGGGACAGATTTCCTGTTCACCCCTATCTGTGGTTATTCCAGTATTCCAGTATATGGAATAAAAGGCATGACAATGGGAGAGACAGGAAGCCTATGCTAGTCATGAAGCATCTGATGGAGGGAAAAAGGGCACTTCCCTTCATCTGGTCAGTTTCCCACTACCCTGAATTCAACTGCACATGGAATTTCACAAGATAAATAGCAAGTTAGTTTACAGGATGTTTCACAGAACAGGCTGCTTTGCTGAGATCTCAGAGGTGTCAGCTGAACAAAAGGAATGATTTGCATTTGGCTCTCTCATTCCTCAAGGTCAGTGTTGGCGACATGCCTCCTCTGGGAATGTCGGAGCCCACAGAGCCTTTAGAGATTATTTACTGACAAAAGTGAAGTTCAGAGAAGTTAGGTCACATACTCAAGGTCACATTGCTGGTGGGTGACAATAATAGTAGCTAAAACTTGTGCCATGTGCTAGATATTACTCATGCATTTTACACCTAACAACTCATTTAATCCTCATATCAACCCCATGTGGAAGGAATCATTAGATTCTACAGAATTTATGTTTTTCAAAGATTTTTGAAAATACATTTTATTTCACAAGCCAGTATACTCACACATACAAGTTAGTACATTATAATTGAAAGACAGATTCCTTAAGAACAATTGTTATGTTTACTAAATGTGATACACACCGTTATGTCCCCTTTTCTTTTAACTCTTCCA